GTGCTTCTCACCGCATAGTGGTGTAATGCAGTGAAGCAACAATTGCGAACTAGGCATCGCAATGTTGCGTGTCTTGCTTCGCCGCAGCGCACCCGCATACTAAGGGGAAATTTACTCCTTCAGAGCGAGATGGGGTGCAAGAAGGTATATATGGACTCTTGTAGGTTTATTTTTTATACTTTGTTTATTTTTTTTGTCTGAATTAAGAATTGCAGGCTTGTTATAACCCCCTTAGAACTTGAAGGACACATAAATCTAGGTGCTCAAAATGATTGTATTTGAACATTTCTTCAGTGGGATTTCGTACCTAAAATAATCATTCACGGCAGTTTGCACTGTTCTTCATCAGTCGTCTTCTTGTTACCGTGTCTGGCGCTTCCACAAGTAACTAAGCAGCTAGTGTTTGTTCTCCTAATATTTGCCGTCTCTCCTCACAGTTGAGGAGAGAGATATACGGTAAATAAAAATGAAGTGTGTGGTTATGCTCCAAAAGCTCTTTTTGCTTCTTCAAAATGAACTTTTGGCTGCTCCAACAGCTGCTCCAAAATGGCTATGACCAATCACATCACTGCTCTTATCACCTGACCCAACTCTTTGCACGTGGGTATGGCTGGGAGCGTGATGAGTGGCAAAAGAGTGGTTTAACGAGGACGTAGCTTTCACCACAGTCTCAGCTTAGAGGTGAACGGAGTGTGGTAGCTGCAGTACCAATTATCGAAGCCTGCCATTGTTTGGGCACACACTGCTTGATGCTTGATGTTACAGAGAAAATTGCCTCATCTCAATTAACCTTACGCACAATTGCTTGGTAGTCTGACAACACTGAGAGCGTCACTATTTTAATGGTAGCAAGCGTTGTCGGTACTGAAGCACAGCGGAAAGCAGTTTGCGATGGCGCGGCAGCTGTGTTTTCTGCCTTCTGACCATGGAACGTGGACGAACAGTTTAAACAGCCTACCGCAACTGTCCGACGAAACTTTCGGAGGCCTGTGCACACGCTGGCAACAACCCGAAGTGTGTAAGCTTCCAGAGCAAAGGCGTAGGACTTGCTCCGCTGCTTTGACGAGGTTGTTGCCAGCGTGCACAGGCCTCCTAGAGCTTCATGAGACAGTTGCGGTAGGTTGTTTAAACTGTTTGTCCACATTTCATGGTCAGAAGGCGGAAAACAGCTGCTGCGCTATCGTACACTGCCCGCACGGCTCTCTGATGCCTCCACCGTGCTTTGGTACCGACGACGCTTGCCAACATTAAAATGGCGACGCTTTCAGTGTTGTCAGATCACCAAACAATTTTTCATAAGATCTATTGAGTCTATTTGACCGGTTGCAATCCAGAAATTTGCAAGCATTGTACACAGTGCGTTTTTAACCCCTTTTCACGACTGTGAGAGGTGGCAATTTCGCGCCGACAACAGAAACGGCAATAAAACAATCATACTTATGCCCTCCTCTAGTAGACGGAGGCTAGGGCTGTTAAAAAAATGTGCGGCATTTACGGACGCCCTTGATTTTCATTGTTCAGTTCACAATTAAACTCTCTTAATTGAACAAGGAATTCGGCTCACAAATCCCTATCAGGAGAAAAACCCAGATTTCGTCCTGAAGACCTCTGCGCCCCCTGAGCTTTTGTTGAAAGTAGAACCGATCTCAGAGACAAGCTGAAAACTGCGAAAGGAAGTGGTCATACGGTCAGTAATGAGTCACATCCCTCCCTCCCTCCCTCCCTCCCCCCTCCAAACACTCTAAAAAAATACTGACCTTTTTTCTGCTGACTATCAATGACACGGAAAAATCTGACAAACATACCAACAACAGCTTTGCTGTAAAAGGAGGTTCGAAAAAGTCCATCTAATTGTTTAAAGGTTTCCGCCTGTCACCTTAAGGCCAGTTCACACTCCTGCAACCGAGTATGACCGAGAGAGAGAAGACCGGTTGAAATCTCTTAAAATTTCTTTGGACGAGAGAACACACTGGCACACTGGCGCCATCTATGCGGTGACCCTGGAACTGCATTTCACAAGAGCGAAGGTTTGGCGGGATTTCCGAGGTCAAATGTGTGTAACACCTATGAGGAAGGCTCGTTTATAACGTTGACAAAAGTTTTTCGAGCCAAGAAAGAAAGGATAATGCGCGAGAGAAATAGAAAATATGTCGGGCCGCCAAGTTTACACTGCTAGCCAAAATATGGCGCCAAGGTGTCCTCTCATTGTAAGAGATATTAAGAGGTTCCAAGGCACTCGGTTCTAAGAGGTCGCAAGTGTGTGAACGGGCCTTTACGGGAATGCTTTACGCTGGATGCCGATTGGTAACTCCTGTTGAGCTAGAAATTGTGGTTCACTACCAACTTCCGTGCCTTCTAAACTGTGGAGATCCAGTGGGGGGTTGCAAAGCAATTGCTGCCATCAGTATTTTTTGTTTTGTTATGAATTTCAGTTTGGCTAGCTTCAGCATACATTTTATTATGTGGACTGCTACTCGTACTCATCATTGATATTTACTCTTGTAGCCTCGTGAAAAGCACAAGCGGGTGTCGCGACGCTATATTTTATATTTTGGGGGGGCCTCCGGGTTGCAGAGTTTGGTAAGCACTGAAATATGCAATAAATTGCTTTATAACCTAGCGACAATAAATTAAAGTGTCAAGGAGATTCGAAATTATGCGTGCAGACAAAGGTGAAGAGTGCACTCGAAGTTGCTACATGCGTGCTGTTCTGTCGCTGCGCAGTTTTGACGCCGTGGTGTTTTGACGCCGTGCTGTTTTGTCGCGTGCTGTTCTGTCGTGTGCTGTTCTGTCGCGTTCCCCGCTGATACATGTTCAGGATTTACGTCACCGTATGAAGTGTTTCTGTCCAGTTCTTTCCTTCATGCAATTCCTATTTCTACTGTGAAATTGAGTTAGCACTGGCAGTACTCCAAAGAGTCTTTTAAAGCGTGGTGTTGAGGTAAACTGAGTGCTTAAAGGGGCAATGCAACAATTTTTGTACTTTGCACAAATACCGCTTAAAACGAATCCCTGACGTTAATGACCCATGAAACGCGTTCATTTTTCATCCCACGCACGAGTTCCAAAAAAAAATTAAAGAAAAACGAGCACCGTTCACCCCCTCAACTCGCAGCCAGAACAAGCGGCCACGTGATCTGGAGCCGATTATATGCCGCCAATGTTGATCATAGCCACGCGCTGGGGTTGGCAAAGCACAGGACACACGCTGAGTTCCAGACATTGTTATGGCTCGGCTATTGTCATCGTGGCAGTGATTGGACACGGGCCACTACCCGAATGCATGTCGAGGCATTGATTGTCACGAGCCTAGATCGAATGGGGACGCAGTCTTCGCGTCCACTGTGTGAGCAGCATTTGAATATCGTCACAGCTGGGATCGCAAAGCTCGACGACGCATTTCCGGGGATCGTACTGTTGCCATTGTCCCCCCAGCTCCGTCATTAAATTTCGCGAAGAAGAGACTAAAAAGAAAAGCTCCGCTTTCATCCTTTGAATTTCGCCGCGATGAAGACGCTTCTTGTTCAGTGGTGTTGCGTTCGGGTATTCTTGGGTCCCACTAGTGCCAGGAAGCTGGTTTAAAGTAAGAAATATTCCTACCCAATGTCGTTGCACAGCCCCTTTAAAAACTGCGTCATCAACACGATCGGCCTTCTTAAAAATCGGTGGAATAAATATTTTCAACCCTGTGCATTTGCCTACCGCCTGCTATGTGATCGCTTCATTCCCCAAAACGTTCTGGGGACTTAAAAAATTCAGGTGCCTGGTAAAGGCTACTTCCAAGTTCCAAGTATCAACAATCATGATCAGAGCTGTCGTTTTAATGTGATTTTTTAACCTTCGCTTTCCTGGATTTCTTTTTTTATACTTTATCAGCGGGTGAGTAGGCATGCCCTCTTATTTCAACTAGCAGTAACGTGAGCTGGTCTCTGGGCAGTTCTAATTTCAACAGCAGTCTGAACGTTCACGACCGTAGCAGTGAACATTTCGACAATCGCTTTCCGTAATTATGCAGTAAAAACATTCATCAAATTATTTTAGCTGCACGCCAGCCTTAATTATTGGTAAATAATGTTTTCCCAAACTTTATTTGAGTAAGACGTTATTGATAGGGAATTGGCCCTGAGATCGACACTATCTGTGTTGTCCTGCTGCTGGCCTGAAACTCGCTCAGCTAGCGATCAGAGCAACACACATTGCCCAACACAAGCTGCTGCTGTTTTGTTGCCAAAAGCTATCGTACCGAGGCAACATTTTCGTTGTTGTCCACGTTGTTCTGGTGTTGCCGCGATGTGACAGGGTTTTCGGACAACACAGGGAGCGAGCAACAAGTTGCCCAACTGTTGGACAACATGTTGTGTTGCTGTAGCCGTCGTGTTGCCTCAGTGTGACATTGCTTTAAGCATGGCGCGCCGCCGGTTGACACGGTGCTTGAGCTTTTTCGGGAGCTTCCTATGGGCTATAAAAGTTACTTATTAATCTTAGTTTTTTTTATGCAAGTCAGACGAAAATTAGTAACTTTTAGAGACCATGGGAAGCTCCCGAAAGAGTGCAAGTACCACGTGACCATGGCGGCCAGTCACGTGACCATAGCGGCCACTTTTCCGTTGGCTCCCGCGGGCGCTCACTAAAAATTTGCTTCGCACCGTAAATGTAGCCCTACATTTTTTTTTTTTTTTTCGCTGTAAATTTTGTTTTATGACATTATTTTTCAATTTAGGCTGTTTAAAAAAAGTTCTTTTTTTTCCTTTGCATGTGTCCTTTAAACTTCAATCCTAGTGCTTGCTTCCCTCTCTTTGAAGCATAATCCATATCACTATGCACATTTTCATCCGATCTCTGGGCTCCACCGAGGACACATCCGTGGTAAAGAATCTCCGAATCGGCACGGACATATAGGAATATGCGGACAGCTGTACAAGAAGCACTGGACTATCTCCACCTGTAGTCCAGACACTGTCCAGTCTTTATGAAGAAGGAGGTTTAAATGAAAAACTTACCACAACTTGAGGACTGGATAGGTTCCATTGGTCAAGTAGGCTCCTAAGATCACGAAGAATGAAAGGCAGCATATTTGAGATGACAAGGACCAAATACAAAGAGCAATGATCGTAATTAAGATAAAAACAAAGCAAGCACACCCTCCAAGCACGTCAAGTTAGCCAGACATGAGGATAACACACAAGAGACACGCACCCACAATTCTGCCATTTTGAGATAACAATGACAAATGAATGAGAAAATGGCACCATGTGTGTTTGGCAATGTGTGCTCACTTGCATATAGCTTCAAAGGTTCTTATTGGTTCAAACTTCCATAAGGCGGAGAGCCGGAGGCAATCAAAAGGCTGAAGCCCGTGCAGGATATACTGATCGCCTCCTCGGCTAAACATTAACAGGTGAAACATCTGGAAAAATATGCATATATGTAAAATTGATGACCTCACATGCGCCTATCCCCATTTTTTTGCAATTATCTTCAAATTTTGAGTGGGCGCTTGCTCGGTATTTTACGGTTTTATTTTCAAATCACAGTTCGCTGTTAACACTAAATTGCAAATTAGCTAGCATTCAATGCAGTCAATGTCACACCCCAACATTTAATGCCTGCAGGGTTAATTTAGCATGCATACTGTGATACAAACTGTGATAATTAATTGGCACCAACAGAGCCCAGAACCAACAATGCACGAGCATTACATGGCCTGATGCCAGGCAGCAAGGACGTGTGCGGCAGCTGCTCCGATCCCTTCTTCGGAAGGCAGCAATATCTGCGTTGTTCGGGACCTTGCGAAGCGCGGTTCCACTGCAAGTGCATAGACGTGGTGGGAGATGACTACGAGTTCTTCATGGTCAACGGCTCAAGTACGTACAAGTGTCAAAATTGTACGAGGCGCAACGGCGCTCAAGATGTCGCCGTGCGTGCTGAAGATTCTGCCACCGATTCGCCCACTCTGAGCGACATTGGAATTCAAACTGTTCCGACGGTTGAAAGCTGTGGCGCGTGCGGCTGTGTCAGCAGGTTAGTCGCGGATTTGTGTGGAAAGATTGACGCTCTTGTGAAAGAAGTTACGTCTGTCAGGGCGGATAACGCGTCCTTGCAGATCCATCTCGCAAGGAACACGGAACTGCTGCGTCGCTTGACCACCCAAGACGTCACACCACCACTGGTTTCCCAACAAACCCGTGGCGCCGCAAGTTTTGCTGATGCCGCCCGCAAAGATTCGACTAGCATCGCTGCTTTACAGGGCGCTCGCGATAAACCAGGAAGCCAGAACGGACATACGCGTGGCAACGAACCTGTGCAGTCCTACCCGACCGCTTCAACCATCAATCGACCATCGCGCCAAACGACCGAGGATACTGCAGCAACAGATGCTGATGGATTCACACTTGTTCAACGAAAGCGGAGGGTCAAGCCTTCTTCGGGATCGTGTACAAACAGTAAGCTGGCTTCCGTTCCAAGGCCGCAAAGGCGTAAAGCACTCTTTGTTTCACGCCTTCACCCAACTACCGTGTGTAGTGATGTTGAGGCAGTGCTTGCTCCCATCTTAGAGGATAAGTCATTTAAGTGTACTCAATTGAAAGCCAAACATGACAGCTACTCGTCGTTTCACATCTCTGTAAATGAGGAGGATTTTGAAAAGATCAATACTGATGACGTTTGGCCCATGGGTTCGTTCTTCAGACAATTTTTTGGGCCATTACGGGTTGATGAAGACACTCCAGCTGCAGTGCCGTCCTAACAAAAAAAAAAAAAAGTGTTCTTCCTTTATGAAGTGTTCTGTATTCTATCAAAACGTTCGTGGACTACGTACTAAGGCCAATACATGTTTTACAAATGTTGCAGTGAGTGATTACGACATAATTTCATTAAGCGAAACATGGTTGAACTGCTCTTTTTCATCATCTGATTACTTTCCTCCAGCATATACTGTATTTCGTAGGGATCGGAATTATGAAGGCATGTCGGCGAACTTCGGGGGTGGTGTACTCATTGCTGTTAAAAAACATTTGCAGGCGGTACGGAGATTTGACCTTGAATTTAGCGGTGAATCTGTCTGGGTGGAAATAACTTTGGCCGGCTCCAACTTGCTCATTGGCACGTTTTACTTCCCGCCGAGCCTTGATGTCACCGGATTTTCGGAACAAATGAACCTGCTTTGTGATCAATTAGACGTCGACAAATACCGTATTCTTATTCTAGGAGATTTTAATGTCCCTGATATAAACTGGAATTTAGAGCACCCTTTCTCATATTCTGGTTGTGTAACATCTAAGGCGAATACTCTACTCTATTCTGTGAACTATCTAGGATTGAATCAGTTAAATAGTTTTCAGAACCCGGCGGGAAACGTACTGGACCTCGCTTTAGTGAACTTTCATGTTCATACCCTCGTACCGGTCTCTAAGCCCCTTGTTCCCCCCGATGAGTGGCATGTTCCCTTCTCCGCTTCCTTCAACGCTTCCTTCAGGACATCAAAGCATACAAGCTATGAATCATTCGCTTTTAATAGGGGTAATTATCTTGGCCTTTTCAGATTTTTAGATAGCGTTGATTGGGCACCAGTATATGAAACAACCGATGTAAATTGCGCTGTTGAGTTACTTACTAACTGTATTACGAACGCCATCGAAATGTTTGTTCCAAAAAAGTGTCGTCACTCATCCCGCTATCCTCATTGGTTTTCGCACGAGCTTAGGTCCGAGCTTAGAAAAAAACTGCACTACCATAGGAAATATAAGGTTAAACAAACACAGTTTTGGTATAATAAGTTTTCCAAATCACGAGCGTTAGCTAAAGTGTTAATCAAGAGGGACAAAGAATCTTATCGAGAGTCAGTTGAACGCAGCTTAAACCGCGACCCCAAGTATTTCTGGCGGTATGTCAATGATCGCATGACCACGTCCTCTCCTGCGATAAGCCTATGTGACGCATCTGGTAAAGTGCTGAATGAACCTGCATGTGTGTCAAACGCATTCGCTGATTATTTCGAATCTGTCTACTCCTCAAACCAAGCTACGCCATGCACGCCAGATGATAGTAGCAATTTTAATGATAACCTCTCGATAACGTCTTTTCAAAGCGCTGAAATCGAGATTGCGATAAAAAGACTAAAACCCAAGATATCAATGGCATTTGATGGCATCCCAAGCTTTATTGTTAAAGGTTGTTCCTCCATTTTTACGCCGATATTAACTCATATTTTCAACTTGTCTCTGTCAAGTTTTACTTTTCCTGAGCTTTGGAAAAATTCTGTCATTGTGCCTGTTCACAAAGGTGGCAAGACCGATGACGTAAAGAATTACAGGCCGGTATCCTTGCTTTGTGCATTTTCGAAAGTTTATGAAATCGTTTTGTTTGAACATTTGTCACAATTTTTTAAACGTAAAATTAGCATTTCACAACACGGTTTCTTCTCTGGCAGGTCTGTAGAGACCAATCTAGTATCATTTTTAAACTTCGTTTCGCCGATTACCAATCAGCGTGGGCAGGTAGACGCCGTATACTTTGATCTATCGAAAGCGTTTGACTTGGTTAATCATTCAATTCTTGTCCATAAATTGGGGACATATGGAGTCAATAACCAGCTTTGCAAATTTTTTTTGAACTATCTGATGGAAAGAAAAAACTTCGTTCGTATAATGGGACATCATTCTAAACCTTATGTGTCATTTTCGGGTGTGCCACAGGGGTCCATACTAGGACCAATTTTATTCAATGTCTTTATAAATGATCTTGGTTCTTGTGTCCGCCATTCACATATTTTGCAATATGCTGACGACATCAAATTGTTTAGGCAGGTCTCATCCATCTATGACTGTGAAATGATACTGGAGGATGTTAATGCTGTGCATCATTGGTGTTGCCGCAATTTGTTAACACTAAATCCTAAAAAAACTGTAGTTATGTCCTTTTCTAAGAAACTGGAAATTGTAAGCTTTTGTTATTATCTTGAGAACCTACCTCTGCGTAGGGTTGAATGCACAAGAGATCTAGGAGTGTATATTGATTCATCTTTGTCATTCAATGAACATGTTTCCAACATCACAAATGCTGCCTATCGGACGCTAGGTGTTATTTCGAGAATAACACGTGAATTCCCTTCGTCAGCTTGCATATTCATTTTGTATTTTTCATTAATACGTAGCAAGCTTGAGTTTAGTTCTGTTGTTTGGAATTGTATTGGTAATGCAAACCAAGCAAAAATCGAAAACGTGCAGAGACGTTTCTTCCGTATTGTATATGATCGCTATATTGGCCGCAGTGTTTATTATGAGTATAACAGGCTTTTACGACGATGTGATTGTACCACACTAAGCTCGAGAAGACTTGAGCGCGATCTAGTTTTTTTGTATAAATGCGTTCATGGTTGCATTGACTGTTCGACCCTTACATCAGCTATTAGCATATATGTACCGCGAGTGCTTTTGAGGGTTAATCCCACTTTCTCAGTTCAAAAAATCAACCTCTCCAGTCCCATGAACCGCATCCAACATTTTTATAACAGGTTCAGTACAACCAGCATCGACATCGACATTTTCAACTCAAGTGTTCAAGCGTTTAGGTGTTCTCTGGCTGATATTTAACTGTTACCTATTTCCTGTTCCCCCATAATAGATATTAGCTGTTGCATGTGCTGTTGATTTCTTATGTGTGTTTCTTTTGACTCTGTGCATCATTACATAGGCTACTCGCCGTTCATGAGCACGAAAAATAAATGAATGAATGAATGAATGAATGAATGCTTTTTCATGAAACCAAATTGGTCGCCAAAAAGTATACTAACTTGAAAGTTACTTCACATGCCATGTTACCTGTCTCATTTTCCTAAATGGTACTTGGAAGAAATGTTTCCTGGAAGTATATAATAAAGTATGGTGTGGACGTGAAAATGATAACGGAAAGAAGGATATCAAAGCACCAGCCGCAATCGTTGAAGCACTGTTCTTGTACGCAAGTAGAGTGGCTTCCCAGCATAACTTTGAATTTTAAGATGGATGAATACACGACTCTGCTCCAATGGAAGCTTATATACAGGA